TATATATATATATATATATATACTGTATATATATGGCGCAAACTGTTTCTCACCCTCACAACCTAATTTTCATTCACATTTAGGTAAGGTCTGTACATTTCACTTCATTGTGTACATATTTATGCTGCTGCATTGATTTAGTGTGTGTGACGGAGAGAGCGAGAAAGAGTGGTGAAATGAGACCTATTTTATGTGTCAACTTCAGTACATTGCTGTGAGGTGTGTGTGTGTATATATGGAGGCTGTCAGGGTGGTCTGGTCAGTGTGTGGGTGTGTGTCGTGGGGATTATCACTTTTCTCTGGGTGGTAGAAACACTCCAAACCTTTTCCAGAAGCTCAAGAGTGTGTTGGCAGCAAGCAGTCAGCTTTATCTCTGACACGTTCACCACGTGTATAAGCATATGTGACTGTAGTTCAGCTGTATGCATTAGTGTCTTACAGTGGAGTCGCTCACAGATTGTGAGGACTCCATCTCTAGGCAGGGAGGGAGGAGGAGGGGGACGGGCAGCGGTGTCAGAGGAGCTGCGGTGCTGGTACCAGCGCTCGTCTGGATCGCTGAAGGAGCACAGCCGTGTCACGCACACCAGCTCCAATGCTTCAGACGGCCGTGGAGGACGAATAGGGACACTAGTGAAGGGGTCACCAGGTGAGCGGGTCAAATATAAACTATGCAAAAACAGATATATGGATACCTGCTAGACATCCTACAGTAAACATCATAAATTAGATGCATGGTTCCTGATTGTGGCTTTTTTTGCAAAACCACGTTCATATTCGCGCGATTTTTTGCGCAGCTCGTCTGTGAACAACGGCTCTGTGTAGTTAATGCTGCTCAATGTGAAAGCACGCACGTGATGGAGATTTACCGCTGATTACAGAATGGCTTTACTGACAAGATGCGCGTTAAATATCGCATGCGATTTATCGTGCAGCCCTAACACACACACACACACACACACACATATGAAAAAGCCTCGTAGTCCAATATTATTTTCTTGAAATGTAGATGGTCTAGAAGAAACTGTAGGTTGTAGTTTGTCTAATTAGTAGTTAGTTCATCTAAGTAACAACATAGTATCTAGTATCCCAGTGGCTCGTTAGATAAAGTACTGCATCTCTGTAGTTTCTTAGATGGACTAACCAATCAGAATCATGTAATAATACTAAATAAATAAGTGACACTTCTTTCAGACTAATACGAAGGACAAATCACTTTAAATTAGCTGTTAGTTTTTTGGGGTTTTTTTGCATTGCAGTTAATGTGAATAGTTTTGGTGAAAAAATCACTTGCAATATTTGTCAGTGATTTGCATCACTCTAGACGTGAGTATGCTTTTAGGCAAGGCTTATATGGTTTTCCTTGCACTAAACTTTGACCAAGAATGTTTACATATATACTTAATATTTTCATTGTGCTGTTCTTGGTTTCTTCCAAGATTGCACAATTGGCTTGGTTTTCCTGTAGATTGTACAGCTTTGTTTGTCAGTGGGTATTTACTTTAAAGAACTGTATAAATTCAGACATATTTGAGGATGTTGGTCAAAGTCTGGGTTAACTGTACCAATGCTTTGTCTGTGTTGTTCACTTTAATAGTGTGTAACAGAACTACCCCAGTGTCAAAATTACACAACTCACTCTACATTAACTGATCACGGCTACCCACAAATGCTAACCTCTCTCTCTCTCTCTCTCTCTCTGTGTGTGTCTCACTAACCCACCTCTGCCTGAATGTGTATGTGTGTTTTCTCGGGGCAGTGATACGACTGAAAGTTCTCCTACTGAAGATCGTTCTCCCTCTCACCAAAGCACTGACCAGTAGAGAGGTACACTCTCTCTCTCTCTCTCTCTCTTCTCTCTCTCTCAATCTCTATCTCTTTGCATGTTCTGTATCTCACTCTTTCACTCCTTCACCTCTCTGACTGTGTCATTTTCTTGTGTTGGAATTTAACTTGTGACTGAATTTGTATTGCAAAATGCAAATTTTATTTGTGTTGTTTCATTAAAAATTTACCAGGGAGTACTGAAGCAGGTACACTCTCTCAATCTCTATCTCTCTGCATGTTCTGTATCTCACTCTTTCACTCCTTCACCTCTCTGACGGTGTCATTTGCTTGTGTTGGAAGTGAATTTGTATTTCAGAATACAAATTTTATTTAAGTGTTATTTTGTTATTATAATTTACTAGGGAGTACTGAAACAAAACTTCATTGTGGGCAGTATGACCAAACTTTTGTATCACAAAATTAGAAATTGTATATTATGTGGTGTAACAGTTTCTTTATATTTATATTATATTTTAATTTTTAAAAATAAGGTTTTAAAAAATATATACATTTTTATTTTTTAATATATATATATATATATATATATAGAGAGAGAGAGAGAGAGAGAGAGAGAAAAGAAAAATATGTAATGTTATATATTAAATATTTTATTTTATATATATATTTTAAAAATTAATCTATTAAATATGTTAAAAAGGAAATGTAATGTATTAAATGTAATATGTAAGATCTATTTAATACAGTAAATTTAATGTTTTACAAAAAATACTTTTTTTTTCTTTTGCTTATAATAACAAGTATTTTTCTCTTATTTGGGTTTTTAATTTTTCTTCATTGGTTCCATGTGCAAAAAACAGATGCAGGTGTTCCCACTGTTATCCAGGTCCAGACAAAGTTTTTTGCACTTTCTACACGTACATGGTAGATGGCATATTCTACATGGTAAAATATATAAGGATAGCTTAAAGCATGTTCAAATTAACCTGTTTATTCAGATGACATTCAATTCCATATGGGCCTTCTGATAGTTGCACAAATATAAATCTAGCAACCAGAGTATAAATGGTACAGCCTGTTAAATATACCTATTACAAAATGTCAAGATTTCTTACACTTTCCTCTACTTCTCATCTGCAGATCGCCATTCACAGATAGTTGTTTCCTGAGCAGTCCCCTGTGCTCTGAGATAGTGGACGTACAGTGGTACGGGCACGAGAAGGCAAAGCCGGGAACGCTCGTCTAAACCCTCATCCTTCATCCCTCTCTCTTTAAAAGAGTGTTCAGAAGGCAGGCCTGACCACAGTCTGGACCTCAACTCATCTGAAAACACCTATGGCTGGAGCCAGTACCACCTCGCCCTCTCCTTCCTCTCTGTATATCCGGCGGTACAGTGCTTATGAACTATGGGAATACAAGAGTCTGAATGAACTGAGCTTGACCTTGTCTGACCCTCCCACTCTGACTTTTGAACTTTGACCCAGTTAGCTGGCAGCCGGTTTTTCCGTATGCACAAACCCTCCGTGTTTAATCCATCGCTGGATTGATGTGCATAAGAGATGTCTTATGCGCGTTGTACTATAAGTGAACCCCACTCATGCACACACATGCTAAAATAGTCGTTCGCCCCCTGCTGTCGTGTGTGTCCCTCTGCACTGATGTCAGAGAGCCGGCGTCGTTCTCTCTCATGCACATGACATGCACAAAAAAACATTCCAATGGATTGCTTTGGCGTCAACCACCTTTGTAGAACTTTATGTTCTTAGTTCTGTTAAAAAACAAAAAAAACAGTATGTGACCACAAGCCCCACCTTCATACTACAGCGCCCCTTCTCATTGGACCGGAGTGCATCATAAGCCCCTCCCACTGTCTGGGAACTTTGATATTTTGTGAATAACAATAGAGCATTTAAAAAAGGCAGAGGCCTTTCTTCGGTCGTTCTGGATTGGAAGATGAGCCCCAATATCATATCGCTCATGATTATGACGTCACAAGTATGTCATTTCGAGAAAATTCAAAACATTGTAGTCTTTGTGCGTAATGTTGATTTGTCATTCTCAAGTTCATCGATTCTGGTCCAGGAAGTTCAGCCATTTTTACAAAACATTAGCTAATTTAGAAGCCATAGCTGTAAAACAAATCTGAAATGTTAGCTTAGAGGCATTAGCATGACCCTCGGCTTTGAGTGACTGATCTGTGAAGTACTGCAACTCAGGCTGCAACCGGCAACTCGCCACCATGGTGCTCTGAGCTTGAACTGCACATCCCACAATGCCCTGCTGTATGCCCACACTGCATGAACAGTCACAAACCCCCGCCTATAGTGTTGTGACATCAGTGAAGTAACGAGACACACAAAACCTTCTTCAAACACCGCTGGCCTTATCGGTTTTCTGTTTTTATGTATGTTTTTAATTCAGGATTTTACTTAATTGTAACACCACTATGACATTACGTTCGTATTTATAAAACCGTCAAAAGTCAGATGAGCACAACGCAACGTGGCACACCGACACAATATTTTAACGAAAATGACATTACCTCTTCCCTGAGGCTTTCAGGAGAACAGCATTCCAGAATGTGACGTGATTAAAGCAGGTGCTTCATTTTAAAAGCAGCCAGTGAGAAACCATAAGCTCAGACAATACAGGGTGTGTAATGCTTTTATCACACAGTCAACAAGATCCGAAACCACGTGTGCCCCTCACTTCGATCGTCTGACCGAGGAAACATCAAGCCATAATGCTAAAGACCGCATTTGTCACATATTCTGCAAGATACGAAACATCGTACACGCAAAGTACCTTAAGAAACAGGAAGCTAAAAGCACACCCTGTGCCGTTACAACTCAACAGATCTTCAAAAAGTCAGTAGTTTGTGCGTTAACATGAGCAGTTATTACAAATGTGTATTTGAAAGGGTCCAAATCACCAGACATTAAATCTAAAAGTCATCCGATTCATGTTCCATGAAGGGCCTATAAGTAAACCAGACGTTTTTATCTGCCCTAAAATTGATTGTTCGTTATTTTTGTGCATGCTCAGCACACTGTGTTATGCATCTTGATGTTAAAATTCAAACCCTTCGTTTAGAGGTCGTTCAGACCTCATGTCCTCTTAGGCCAATGTGAGCTCACTCCTCTCGTCTACCTGTACACTATATCAAAAACAAAAATCTTTTTATATTAAAAAAAACAACTAACACATTTATCAACATTTATAGGCAGGACTGTGGAAACTGGGTTCTTTTAAAAGAAAACGATTCCATCCATTTAATGATTTTTATAAATCAGTATTCGTTTTATTTTCGGGTCTTTAAGCTGGGAAATAGCAACGACACGTTCAGGTGCTACAGGAAGACCAGTTACTGCTTTGGTTTCCTAGCTGTAGACTTTTCCTAACTGTTGTCAATAGTTTTAATACCAGTCGTGCAAAATGAAGGACGTTAGTTACTAAACTGTCTTCTAACTTCGTCTTGACAATAGAGCATGTTTCATGAGTTCATTTTCAGACATAACCGGACAAAATAAAATGGTGTTGTAGAAAAAAATAAAGTGGAATTGTTGGGCGGATTAAATATAAGCAAATTCCACAGTTAATTTATTCTTTTTTCTATTAAGAATTTGTATAGTAACATTTTTCAAAAAACGTGTTGTTGGCAACTGATACTGAATTTTCCAGATGAGAAATGTGGTGGTTCTTGAGATCCTGAAATAAATTATTGCTGAATGTTCTCTAAACCAAAGCCTGAAATCACTTTATTGCTATTATTCGCATGGTTAATGTATATATATATTGTTATTCATAACGCAACATGCTGCTTCAGGTGGATGAAGGTGATGATCTGCTTCCTCCAGGCGTAATTAAAATTCTTCCGCATGTCACCTTTGTGGATTATGTTCCTGCATGTAGAATGAGATCAGCCACAGGTGAAGCTGACAATCACACCCGCTGATTGAAATACCAAGTCCATGAAACTGAAATTTGATTTGACAAATTTAAATGCTGCTTAAAAATATGCATATGTATGTCACGTCACAGAAAACATTAATAATTGTAATGGGTGGGGAAAAGAGAAAGAAAATTGTTTTGCTTTGATCCTTCATTCAAGGTCACACATATGGGATGTCCTGTTTTGGACAGAAATTACAAAGTTATTTATTTTATTTTTTTGTACTTTTTATTTTTTTTGTCTTACCATACATATACACGCATATTCACAAAAACTGACAGTTGAAAGAATAAAGTGATAATATTGATTATAAAATATAATTAAAAATAAAATAGCTATAGTATATATATAAATATAATTTAGATTTTATTCAATATTATATTCAAAGTTAAATAAATAATGATTGACCCGTGACATTTGACGAGCACAAAACTGTTCATTTTTGAGAACAATGAACAAACGTTTGATGTTGACAGAAATCATTAAGGTCTACCACCCACAGTTCAACATTTAAGGATTTAAGGACCGTTTACATTAAGTAATGATCACATATTATGAATGCATGTGATTCATCCATCACAACATGCACTCCAAATCACCCTCCAGCTCTAATAGCTCCTGCTGATACTTAAAGCTTAAAGCATTTTACTCTGCAATTTTCCAGTGGATGTGTGTATTTGTGTTTGTCTATAAGTGTGAGTCTCCTACAGCTGCTGAACATTTACTCATTCGTTCCACACCTACTGTCAGACTCGGATGTGCATGGAAACAGATAAACCCTTTCACAAGCATATATATATATATATATATCATGTTCCCTTTACAAACAGTCAAATATTTTGTCAGAAGGTGTTGCTCCAGGTTTGAGATCAGTGACAAAACATTGGGTCTCAAACACCAGTCTTTATTTGCATCTGTTCTCTACATAAAAATAGCAGAATACATAAAGCACACAAGTCATATGGACCAGAGTTATGTTAGAATTATTTCTGTATTATAGTACTTATTCAAATTTATATTTGCTTTTATTTTAATATTTTCAGTTTTTATTTTAATTTTAGTTTAAGTTCTAGTAATTGTGTTGTGTGCATTTTTATTAGGGTTATTTTTATTTTGGGGGTTTTAATATAGATTTTTTTATTTCACTTTATTTTTATTTCAGTTACTGGTTTTAGTAATTTTAGTCCTGAAACTTGTTTCAGTTAGTTACCAAGCCAACATTTATATTCCTTAATTAATATTTACATTTTATTTTATTTTATTTATTTTTTTAATTTCATCTTTCATCTATCTTTATGTTCTACGGAAGAAAGAGAATCATGTTTGGAACATCATAAGGGTGAGTTAACGATTACTTTGCAAGTAATTCTCATAAGTCCCTGTGACCACTTCCTGTCTTAGGACTCTATATGCGATGCCTACTAAGGTTCTGATCAGCTCCCTACAGTCTTCTTGAATACTGTTAATATGACTCACAGGTTTTGTGCCATCGTCCCACAGGAAGTGAGTATGTTTGTGCCTTGGACAATGGCTTGGGGTCTCCCCCGGCAACAGGAACACAACACTGGAGATGTGGCCGCTATTATTGTGTTGGCGGTCAAGCCAGAGTGATGCTGGAGATATGTGTTTTTCGGGGCAGCTGAATCTATTGTACCTACTGCAGCTGGAATGTGAACAACAAGAGACGCTGTGTTTATAGAAATCTTCCATTTCCTGTGAAGCTCAGTGGATGCTTTGTTGAATGAAATATTTTCGACACTGAATCCATGACATTCCCCTGCTGTGTGTGAAGGGCTTGAGGAACCCCGAGGAGTGTTGTTTTCAGTGAACATGAAAGCTTGACTTCATAGGGCATCACCGTGACCCTTAGTATGGAGGGTCAAGGCATTTGGAGTTATTTTGGAGAATTGTTCGAATTTGGCAGCTGACTATAGGCCAAAATAAACAGCACCACTGCTATCAGTTCAAGGACTGGTGGGATGTATTATTGAAAGATCTGGGCTTGAAACCATAAGGTAGGTGGTTCATTCTCCACAAGAAATGATTCATGAACCATTAACATTGTGCCCTTGAGCAAGACACTTAACCCTAAGTTACTCGAGTCCAGGAAAACCAAACCTTGTCCAAACTAGCACAACATAGTAAAACACCGTCTCTTTGAGGTAAATCAGATTTAAATTAATAAATTACTAGGGTTTTTCAGTGATTCTTTCTGCAAGTATTCTTTCTGAATCATCCATTCAAACCCAAACATAGATTCACTGAGAATGAAAAAAGAAACTGCCACTGATCTATATAAATGACTTTTATAATATACTCTACAATATTGTATTCTCTGATCAATATTATATACAGTGATGGGGAGTAACTAGTTACAAGTAACATAATTACGTAATTTAATAACAAAATGAATGTAACTGTAATCTGTAACAGTTACTGAGAAAAAATGTGTAATTATTAAATTACAGTTACTTATGAAAATGTTAACAATTACAAAGGGGGTTATATCTGAATATTTCCACACACATACAAACTTGATTGATTTCTTTCCCAAATTGCACTGAATGCTCTAAAATGTGAGACGCCAATGTTTCAGGAGTGTAGGACACAGAATATGACACGTTTTGATAACAGTTTTATTTCCTATTTGGGTTTACGTATATATGCTTTAGTTTTTTAAGATTAACTGGGTTTTTTTTCCAAGGCCAGTGTTTCCTGTCATAGCTATGCAAAGATTTGGTTTCAAAAACAGTATCATAGCTATTAAACTATATCTTGTTATGATTTTAAATCTGTATTTAAGCTCAGAACGGTCTCAAAGTAAAATGTGGTGCTATTGTCTGATTTTGTAGTAGCTGTGCTTTAAAATGTAATTTTTATAATCGGTTCAAGAGATGAAGGATTTTGAAAGTCTGACAGTAATTCAAAAGGTTAACCCAGCCTGGTTTACATGTTTCAAAATGATGAAAACATTCATTAGAAATTTAGAAAAGTATTACATTTTAAATAGGGTAACTTGTAATCTGTAACCTATTACATTTCCAAAGTAACCTTCCTAACACTGATTATAGATCAGTGGTAACTGCCTTTATGAGTGAGTCATTGAATCATCGGTTCAACCGATTCGTTCAAAAGCACTGGCTGCATCCGAATATACTTCCATATATGGTAATCAAAAAACAGTACCTACAAGTTTGAACGCAGCCACTGAATCCTCCAGTTAACCAATTAGCTGATTCTTTCAGGAGTGAACGATGAGAACGTCACTTGAATCATCAAGCGAACCGATTCATTCAAAACAAACTTCATTGGACCTATTATCGTTGGCAATATTGCATCTGAAATGTAAGTTTATCAATATTAACTTGTTTATTGTGCTGTTAAACACACTAGCAACCAAATATATCGACCATAACATTTTTAGAAGACAACTAACGTACAGCCTCTACTTTACGGCGTCTATGTCTTTACATTACTTTCCAGCATATGTAGTCACTAACAATTCATGTGACGCATAAATACCCACACACTCGCTCTCCCATGCTAAGAAAGCCCATTATGAAGGTAGAATGACGTCAAAAAGATTTGCATACGCAGGGTAAGAGTTGTGGAAGTGTACATAAGACTGTAAACGTACTGTAAATTAAATTTGCATGTGTAAGAGAAGCTTTGTAAAGGTGTAAATTGCGTTTCAAGCATAAGAAAAAATTATTTGCAGCATTTTACTGTTACTCGTAAGTGTAATTCATGTATTGTGAAACTGCAGCTTCATGCTAACGCAAAATAAATATGATCTGCATGCTTCTGACTTCCATTTTCCCGCGCTTACACTTTTGGCACGTTTCTTTCGCCAAAAGACGGTCAAAAGCACTGCAAGCCTGTGAACAGTGATTTGCAAGCGAAAACAACAGTTTAAAGAACTGCAAAACGGATTGACTGCATAGAACCAATCTGTACGTGTAAAAAAAAAAAACTGTTGCAAATGTCTAAATGACTTGTTGTGCATGTGGGGCAAAAAGTTCCCGAAATAAACCGATATGTACAGCTCCGTCTTTCTTTTCTCTGCGCTTACAATTTTGGCACGATTCTCTCTCTAACTGAGTTTTGCAAGCAGTGTTGCCAATTAATTTTCAGGGGAAGTTGCTAAAGGGAGGTTGATTTGTTGCTAAAAGTTGCTAAATGATGTTGTGATGACATTGCGTGATGACGTCATTACGTAATCACGATGCAAAATTGTCAAATCTCAGCAAAAACATATATTTTATATATGTTAATTTAGATTTGTTCGTAGCAATATAAATGCATAATATAGTATTAAAATATAAATAACTATTTTTAAATCCATTGAATTATCGAAAACGTACACATTTTTGAACGATTACAATTTAAGTTTTATACTTTAAAGCAGTTTACTGGAAAATTACTAACACCTTTTCCATTTTTCCGCATATTTTTCTTACAGTGTACTGTAAGAAACAGTGTAAATCATCAACAATCGCAGGTACAAGCTACTAACAAAGTGTCTCATAAATGAAAAATAACAGTATTCAATTATTATTATTATTACTATTAAACAATTGCAAATAGCAGCTAACTTAATTCCTGTAACGTGTGTACTGCTAGGCATCTTTGGTTTCCTCTTTTTGTGTAATTTAAATGGTCAATTGTGCCTTTTTATCGTTCGAATCACTTATCAAAAGTTGCTAAAAGCTGCCATATAAATTGTAAAAAATAGCTAAATTTGTTGCTAGGTGCTTTTGGAAGAAAAAGTTGCTAGGGTAGTCTGAA